TGGAGTGACAGAGCTTTAAAATGAGTAACAAGTGCTTTAAGCCTCTTAAAAGGTGTTTATATGCAGCCAGGCCAGACATTATGGCCATTTGTACACACCACGGGGCTTCACTTTGGTTTAATTCTCCCTAAGTTGAAGTGGTGGTTATTTAAAAACACCACTTCAATTTAGGTCAAAGTAAACCTTCATGGCATGTACACAAGGGTCAGGCCCAATCCTTACCTGCCTCTCTGGCAGCAGGGAGGAGAGGGTGAGCTGCCAGCAGGCCAAGCAGTCCCTGAGCTGTGGTGGGGGGTTAATGCTTCCCTCCGTGACAGCAGCAGTGCCCCCCAGGTGGCACCTGCTCACAGGCATCTGGCCCAGGTGATCCCAGGGGGGAACCACAAGCACAGAGAGAAGCACCAGGCCCCATGCAGCTCAGGCAGGCAGACAGGCTCTGGGGAGACAAAAAAAAAAAAGAAGATCAGGCTTGCTGATTTCCCTTTTTTTTTTCCTTCAGTGGAGCCTGCCTGCAGTGCTGCCTGCACAGCCCCCAAACTGCATGGGGCCTGGTGCTTCCCTCCATGGCTGTAAGGTAGCAAACTAAAACACCTTGGACATGTTTTGTTTTGCTGCATCCCAAAGTCATTTAACGTGTATTATACCTCCGACATATGTAAACAGCTGCACCATTAAAGCAATGCAAAAAGGGCATTAAGCCGCTTTAAAGGCCGATTTTGTGGCATGTACAAATGGCTTAAGACCTCCAGAAGCCACCTAAAATTACTGTGTAACAAGGCCCTGAGATACAGTCTGCCCCTTAGGGAGTTTTCCCACTGACCTCACTAGGGTCTCAGATGTCACCATTTATATCTAAAAATGTACATTGAGCTAAACACAAAGACACAGGGCTAGTCCCCCGCCCTCCACCCCTCACCCCCCACAGTAATACCCTCGCCTTTATGAAAATGTAGCATTTTCACTCAGCCATCACATTGGTTTTGTTGTTGCTTTCATGTACACTACAGACTTATTTGGCATAGTAGTACTTCATCCCAAAAAGGAAATAAGGGAACTTTTCAGAGGGATGCAATATGAAGGAAAACAACAGGGCAAAAACCCAAGGCAGACCATTTCAGAGTGTAATAGTAGACTAAACCAAATTAGGTAGAAACCAAACACTTGAAGGTGTTTTTGTTCAAAAGCACATCGCCACCATTTTCTGCGTGCAAACGCTCATTTCACCACTTATACAACTGCAAGCACCGTGCACATCAGCTCGCATGTGGAGTAGACTCAATTAATTGAGTCTGCTCCAAAGTACCGGATCTCTGGCACATCTGGGCACAAAAATGTATGTGTATAAATGCCCCTATAGTCCTCCTAGTCTGTTTTGTAATCTTTCCTACAATACATGGTGTTGTCACTTTAAAATTAGATATGCCTGGCTGGCAGGCAGGTGCCCCCCCAGCTGTGAGAGAGGTTTAGATGCAAGCAAATAAAGTTCTGATCCTGTTGAGCTGTTACAAAGCAGCCGTGCTGTTTTAGCACTGATCAATGCAATCATTTAACCTACTCAGCTGTGCTCCTACTGATTCTTCCTGAAGTTGCTGATTATCAGCAACTGTACCTTATTTATATTACCTCCACTAGGTCAGACATCCTCCTGAGTCACATTCTGAGGATTGGTTGCAGGTATGGACAAAATGAATTGAAGCGTCTTCAGCACAGCTGCAAAACATTAACACTAAAGACTGTTATGCTACTAATACGGTGCTCACCTGTCACTTGGCCACGTTGCTGATTTAACTGTCTTGCAAAATGAGCGGGTGGCTGTGTAATTTCTGCATCACGCAGACTGCAGAAGAGTTGCTTCTTACAGTCTTTTTCTCTACTCGTTTCTGCTTATGCTGACCAGATGTGACTGAAAGCAATCATTTCACTCATCACTGAGACGTGCAGTCTCAGCCAAGGCCAGCAGACCAACTGAATCAAGGCGCTAAACTAGGAATCAAAATTCGGAGGGTGAAAGAAATGCAGGGAAGTATGGATGCAAATACACACATAGCAAACAGGTGTCTTTCTAAGGAATCTATCTTCAGGCTGTAAAATACAGGAACAGATTAATCCTGGAGAGAGCAAATCCAGAGTTTTACACAAATGAGCGCAAGGAAAAAGTTATAAGCAAAATCTTTCCCAAACCTGATCCTGAATCACTGTGATACTGCAAAGCCAACAGACCTACTTATGCTCTAGTTTTTGGTCAGTTTTCTTGGCTACCCCACACCCATCCTGGGTTGCTCCCGACTTTCTCTGGGGGTTCTCAGTTCCAGTGCACTTGTTTTGAATGTGGGGAGGATGCTGGGAGAAGTAAGGGGGGAAAGTTTATTGGTCCTGCATCTATACTGGTTTAAAACATGACAGTTCATGACAGCTTGGCTTCATTCAATGGTGCTGAAGCTAAAAACCTGGAGCTACCGCTAGTAGGCACCCAAGGAACACGAGTGGGACCAAACATCTCTGTTAAAACCCATTCCTACATGCCCTGCACTTAAGAAATTCAGATGTTAGTTACTTATCTAACTCAACCTGAAGTCTGAATCTCTCAGGGTTTGCTTATCATAGCTAAAACTATATGAGTGAAATACCATATGCAAGAGCCTATTTAATAACTTGGAAAACTTTTCTTTGTACAATATACTCCAATTTGTATCCAGTATGGTTGAGTAATGACAGATTTTTTAAACACTAGCATACTTTTTTATTAGGTAGGTAGTTTGTAGCTTTCGCTAAAAAAATACCATGAAATTGGGAGTATAATTAATATAATAAAAGTATATAATGCACAGTTATTGGTAAACGCATGAAATAAAATCATATATTCTACCAATTAAAATTAAACACACTATGATGATGATATAAAAATAGATCCAATGAAACAATGTGCCATAGTAGAAAAATAAAAATGGGAAACTTTTTATTTACTCTATTCCAAGGTGGGGGGGTTTCAAAATTTAATATGGATGGAGAAGCCCCTCGTCTTGGATTCAAGTACGGGGCAGGGGAGGGGCGGCGGGGGCAGGCTGCTGCTGCAGCTCCCTCAGGTTGGGGCCAGAGCTGCAGGTGCTGTGGATGCTGCCTCTCCCCTTGGCAGCCTCCGGGCCCCGCCCCACTAGCAGGCCCAGTCTCTGTCTCCTCCGCAGACTGGGGCATAGAGCACAGCCCCAACCCAGCCTGATAGCAGTGGTGCCAGATCCACACCACTGCTAGTGTGAGGCTGGGGCCATGCTCTCTTCCCCAGGCTGCAGCAGGGATGGAGCCTTCCAGCCCTGGAGCATGGATAACCGACAGGAGCAGGGAGGAACTGCAGGCGGGGGGCATCAGGGGAGAAGGGAGGAAGGGGCTGCAGTGGGGTAGGTGGGGAGCAGAGGCTGTGGGGGCTGCAGGCACAAGGTAGGGTAAGTGCATGGGGGGGACAGGCAGCAGGTGGCAAGCTGCCTGTCCCACATCCCACTGCCTCCTCCCCACCACCTGCCTTGACTGTCTCCCCTACTCCTGCCCCAAACCACCTCTATCCTGCCTGCTCCCTGCCTCCTGCCCCCCAACTGCCTGCCCCCTTATTGCCTCCCCCACCACCTAACCCCCTACCACTGCTTTTCCCGCTACAGTAGTGGGGATGTATTTAAGACAGTCCTCCAATAATTAGGTTCTATACATGAAATATTATAAGGAATCAGAACTCGTGGCAGAAGTGATATCTTTTATTAAACCAACTAGTTTAATATTTGCAAAAAAAAAAATTCTTTATTTGCAAGCTGTTGGGCGCACGCATCTTTCCTCAGGCATAGGAGAATGCAAAGATTGTAAAATGTCTCCTAGGTGGAAGTGAAAATTCATATTTTACAGGAGAGCTGATGGTGTTATAAAGTCTCTTGGTTGAAATAGTTCATTTTGTGCAAATTAGGCTCAGATAAAAATTAAAATAGTCTATTTATCTTGATGTTGTCTGGTGCCAAGCAGGATATTGAATTATGTTTCCTTCTGGTTATGATAGTTCATACTCATCTCCTTTAGCCTGTAGATGAATATGGCTACAACCCGTGTCCCTGAAAAATTATAACAAATTTATACATTTTCCATGTGTAGAATCTAATTATTGGGGATTTGTCTTAAATTCAGGGTCATCTTGGATTTGTGTAAATACTGTATTATTGTGCCTACTGCTGCTGCTATAAAATAGCCTAATTTTAGCTTTAAAATACGCAAAAAATACAAATATGAAAAAAACCTAATCTCCCAGCATCTCTGATGCAGCTGGTAAGGGATTACTATTGCCCCCATGTTACAGATGAGGAAAAAGAGACATAGAAATGGAGTTTGTTAGTCTCAGTTCATGAGGCTGTATTACCTGTGGCTTACAAAGTGAAAAAATGTTTATGAATCTACAGTTCAAAAAATGATCTCATACACACTGTTTTTCTATTTAACCTAAGCAGTAACCAGCTTGGATGTCAAATTTTTCTGGTTTATTTAATATTACCCATTTTACTGTGACATCAAAAATTGGTTGCATGCTCAGTTATTGTGATTTGGATTTAAGAATGATAGGATTATACTGTGAAACTCTGCTTCCAATGCAATGGCAGAAAACCAAATACAGTGAAGTGTTTTCAGTTTTATACAAGACAGTCAAGTTTTAAAGTACAGACAAGGGGAAAAGTTTCCTGTGACATCAAGCAGTTGAAAAAGTCACTTTTATACAAAAGACATGAGACAGATTACAAATGCATTTCATTGGTATTAACAAAACATGAGCAGTATTTGATATTCCAAACTCAGGAGAATATATTTCGGGGGTTATTTAGACTGTCAGTAGTATCCTTCAGACAAACAAGAACACATTTACCTTGATATGTCTGCTTGCCATTCAAATAACCTGTGATCTATGGAATATGTCTTTTTTTTCAGATGCTCATTTTACTGCAATTTTTTCCTGACTTGATATTCCTCTTACCTGACAGGTTGGGGATCAAATAATTGAAATCAATGGAGAAAGCACAAGGGACATGACACATGCCAGAGCAATAGAGCTTATCAAATCTGGTGGCAGGAGAGTGCGGCTGCTGCTGAAGCGTGGAACAGGCCAGGTCCCAGAATATGGTGGGTTTCCATTTATATATTTGCCCATGTACATGTATGTATATACCCAAGTGATTAAACTACCTTTGTTTTGAATTAATTACAGATTTAGGACCCAGCACTTGAGTACCTAAAGTGCTTCCCTGAATATGAATGATTTGTGCATGTGTTTAAGTGCCTGTATAGATATTATACAGCACTTCTATCTAAGCTATATGCACAGGCAATGCTTAAAATATGTACTTTGGAGGGGGCACTTTGAATACTTTAGGGACATCTGTGAGTGTGCTGGGAGTTGCTGATCTATTCAGACAATCTACTTGATAAAACAGCTTCTTTTACACTTTTATTGGTATTTCTCTGTACATTTTGAATCATAGGAGTTGATCCTGTTACCACGTAACTCAGTGGCAAAAATCCCATTGACTTTAGTGATACAGGATTAAGCACAGTGTTCACTTGCTACTTAACCTTTCTCATCAGACAATCTCCGACAATCTACACGGAAGTCAGTTTGGAAGAGAGAGACAGTATCTGCTCTTTTGAGCAAGATAGGTAGCATGATTCTTTAATCTTACTTTGAATTTCTGTTTTGTGTTTTTATGGCCTTGGAAACGTCTTTATTTTTTTTAACTTCTAAAAAGTGGGTATAATTTCAGGCAATAGTAAACCGTATTCCTTATCTAACATACTGCACTAACTTTAAGGATCCTTTAAAATGTATGCCAATATATCAACTCACATTTAGGCTCTGCTCAGGGAATCACTCACTAATGTGCTTAACTTTGGTCATCAGGGGTGATCATCAGTATCTGGGGGAACGTTTGTTCACCAGAGCGCCCCAAGGGATGATGAGGTCAAACGGTCATAAACTACTGTGAGACCGTTTCAGGCTGGACATAAGGAAGAATTTCTTTACTGTCCGAGCCCCCAAGGTCTGGAACAGCCTGCCATCGGAGGTGGTTCAAGCACCTACATTGAACACCTTCAAGAGTAAATTGGACGCTTATCTTGCTGGGATCTATGACCCCAGCTGACTTCCTGCCCTTCAGGAGAGGGGCTGGACTCGATGATCTTCCGAGGTCCCTTCCAGCCCTAATGTCTATGAAATCTATGAAACTTTATCTCCAGTAGTAGTTATATGAAAATCAGCAGGGCTATTCAAACTACACATGTACAGTTTGTGGACCTAACGGAGCTTTCCAATTTAAAGTTGTTTCCCTCAGATGGAATGGTTCTTCTGAGGTCATTACAGCCAAGATGGATGTCGAGATTAAAAATGTTATATACAATGCAAACCAACACAAACAGAAGCACGGACTTCAATATGCCACATTGTAAGAGCCCAGGGCTCTTAAGTTTTCAAAATCTACAAACACCTTGTAGCCCCGTGTAGTATCTTCAAATAAAGCCTGGTGATTCTAAGATAAGGGACATGATATATAAAAGCTCTCTGGAAATACTTAAAAGAAAACATCAGCAGGATAGAGCCTGCAGCCAAGTAACCATTTCTACACAAAATTGGATTTGAAATCTCTCTTTTGTGAGGCCTCCATTTCTTCCTGACTCCAGCTGATCCAAAATACAAATAGAAACAGTGAGTTTAATGTATTTCAGTATTTGCAGTTTTATTTGTCATATAAGCTCAGGAGCTATGAAGACATTTGAAAATGTAGATGTACTCTTAAAAGTTTAACAATGTATTTATTTGAGCTCCCAAAATGATTGTATTTGGGGTTTGCTCTAGGCTGATATTATTCTTGACTATTATCCATCTTCCCCTTTAAAAGCACTGCAGTCAGTACCGTTACAACTCAAAAGTTTGCCAGCTGGCAGTGTTTGTGGTAACCCCAATGTAGCTGTAGCTGGCCTATGCATTTGAAAAAATACCATGATTAAGGCAAATATTTAAGCTAGTGGATGATGAGTCATTACTCACTGGTTGTTCAAGAACTTTTGCGTAGTAATATCAGGGATGACAGATTGTAGCATATTCAATTTTCATAATAATAACAGTAGCTTATACACAAGCTCTGTCAAACTTTTTTTGGGAACAGCAACACAGCCAAAAAGGCCCTCAGCCCACTGCAACATATGGCAAATTGTCATTCTGACATTTAAAATCCATGTTAACTTATATATAATCCCTCTTGGCAGACCCCGGAAGAAAGGCCCAGACCAGCTCCAGCTCTCCTGTCAGGAGCGATGCTCCATCACAGTAATAGAGCAGCCTCATAATACCATATAAAAGAGAAAACAGGAATCTGTGGCCAGTTCAACAAGGAGTGGGCACCTCTACAGAGCAGAAATGACATGTGGTTGCCTGGAAAGGATAGCTACCCGATAGTGCCTTTGGGAGCCCCTTAGCACCAAAGAATCGACGCCCCTAGTGAAAATATCAGTCCTGAGCCATTCAGCATCCAGCTCCCATAATGCCCCCATTCAGTGTAGAACTTAAGCATGTGCTGAACTGAGCCCTAACTTAGTTCATTTCCCTACAAAGATTATCAGGATCATGTCAATGAATTTGAAAGTTATCTAATGTGCGTTCCTCTGCCTTGCCTCTGCCTAATCTAAAGTGATTACGTTTCTAAAGGTAAGGAGGTGATCAAAGACTGAAAAGAATATCCGTTCATTAATACATCACAGGGCTATTTAAAACAAACTTTATAAAGCATTTTAGTTTTTTGGCTGAGACACAATATAGACATTCAAAGTAGTACTCTATCTAAATTAGCAATCAAAAAAGGTCCAATTAATCAGACCAACATCCTTCCATAACCTTAAGGATATGCCCGGTACAGAACTAAACAGCTGTGCCTTAATGCTGTAGTCTGTTACCGCACACAGAAGTTGCATTTAGGGGTAGCAGTGGAAAGGGTTAAAGCATTCAGAACAATTATGTGAAGTTACACTGAATACTGACAGTTGCAGTGAAACTAAAGGATATTGTTTGTATGTCTGAAGCTCTTAGTTAACCTATTGCATAGGCAGAAACAGGAGTTTAACCGCTGTAACCAGTCTTCAGGCAGAATGGAAGCAAATTATAAACATGTCTATCAAAAATAACTTGACTTGCTAAAACTCTTCCCCAAACCTTCGCCCAATACTGAAAGGGCAAACAGAAAAATCACATAAAGTCAACAACAGGCTGCATTAGAGAGTTAGAAACAGAAATTAATGAACAGAACATGCTTAAGACTGGAGGTCTTTCCTCGAGACTCCCCCAAATTCACAGATCAAGTCAGTAAGTTGTGAAGAACATCTGTCTGACCAGTTGTTCAACCTCAGTGGGAATAATTAAGAGAATCCCAGCAAAAGAGATGTGGTCTTCAAATCAGAGTAAAGGCAACTCTAAATGATATTTGGACACTGTGGGCTTGAGGACAATGAGGACCTGAGGGCATCACACAAACAAATAAAAACATCACTTATTTTTGTACCAAAAATATGGTGCTGGATTGTAGCAAGATAAAGAGAACCTTTGTTTTGTTAAAATAAAACTGCCCCATTCTGCCAGTACATACTGAGAAAGGAAATATATCTTCAAGTCATTCTGAGAAAACTACCTTTCAAAGAAAGATTGGTATGAACCCAACAATGACAGTCAAGTCTTTTAATTTTAATCATCAAAATCCTGGATTTGCTTTTCATGATATAAATTGTTTTGGAATTACAGAGCCACCATCAGTGCAGAGCCATCAGGCATAGAGAGACGTTACACATAAGATGCAAAAATGTTTTTTGGAAACAAGGCGTAACAAGGCCCAGTAGCCCAATTTCAATTATTCTCAGTCCTGGCTGTCTAGGAGGCATCTGAACAAGCAATCAGCATAGTTGCATATGTTTCATTATTCATAATTACAGGAAAGACATACCCAATGCATGATGCAAAAACGGCCCCTAAAAAACATTTCCTGAAAACAGCTGCAATGATTAGTTGAAGATCCATTTGTAACTGTGGTCCAACTATCACTGATTTCTAGCCCTAAAAGTACATATCAAAAAATACTTGCTGAGATGAGAGGCCCTGCGCATCTAAATGAAGAAATAAAAAGTGCTGTAAATATGTCCTTTACCTCTTCTCTGGGGCTACTGAATTTGCTTTAAAACAGGGTCTGATTCCATAACCACTTCAGAGGGATCAAATCCCCACATGCAGCCAAAAATCCCAGTCACTCAGAGCTCTGTCAGAATATCTGGGAAGGGGCATGATTTCTGCTATAAAACACTAGCTGCTTTCATAGCAGGGAACACAACAAGAAGCTTAGAAAACAGATGTTACATCTCCACTCCATATCTCAGAACATGTTTGCTGAGGATCAGGACAGCCAAAGAGCCCAAACCTCCATAAAAAGAGAATTATCATCGCTGTCAGCCAAATAGACATTGTATTTCTTCACAAATCGTCTGTCAGCAGAGCCCTCTAAAGAATCAAATCTCCAGCAAGGTAGCCATTCACTGTGTGAGAAGCATTAGCATTTCTGTGATCCTCCCCTGCACTGAACACCTATAGCTCCTGCACTGGCACCCTTGGGTGCTGAGGGCATTCTGCATGTCATAGTATCAGGACTGAGAACATCCAGTTGCCCAAAGCCTAAATTACCCTAACAGACATCAATGCAGCACCAAGAAGTTCTTGGTCATTCACTATGTAAATTATTAATTCTCCCTAATTGAAAAAACATAGGCTAAGGTTCGTTGTTGGTTTTTTTTTAATAGATTCCTAAAATTAGGCTTTTCTGTCTGGTGTTAGCACCCAAAAAGTGTCCAGTTGACTTGAGTGGGAATAAATGGATTCACAGCAGTTAGCGCTTAGGAATTTAACTGCAGGGACACGTGTCTTTAAAGTCTTAGCTAGAGGCTCAAAACACCCCCATAAGCCACATCCATGCCATGCAGAAGTATTTCAGGGACAGGCAAAAGGACTGATCCCTAAAGAGCAAGCATATTAAAAGTCAAGGAGCAGATAAAAAAGAAATTACACCCCCACACACCCCCGAAGAGCATGGCATCCAGTG